CCTTAAACTGTATATTTTAAGTATTTCCCTATGTTCTAGTAGCTTGTCTTATTTCTCTTAACAGACAAAATAGCAGCATTTAATAACCCCTTCCCCTGTTCGGCGAAGTGTCTGGAACCACCTTTTTTATACTGCTCTTTAATCGAATTTAGAAGGCAGGCTATTTAAACAGAGTTTAGCTGTTGTTTAGCAAAGCTGCGTTCTAAGCCATCTTCATGATGGCCGAAGTTTTTATTTGAACATTAATTTTTGTGAACATTGTCAAGAGGGTCGAAAGCAAATCGTGGAAGGACATTTCAACCCACTTGTAAATAATCCCCAAGGCCCGATAATCAATCACTCGTTGATTTGAATTTTAGGCACATAAAAAAGTTGGGTTTTCTGAGCTTAAGGCGGTTACAGGGTCCTTCAAGAAATAGGAGTATATATTCTTTCAACAAAGCATCAGTTTCCACAACATCTTTAAGAATGCGCTTATTTTGCGGTTGACTTGTTGACTATAGGGACCTGTCCAACAACAAGTTACAGTATCTACCACCCAGAGTATTTGCTGGCATTAACGCTTCTGAGTACGCTAGGATAACGCTGTGATTTCTTTTTCTATTTGGCTAAAATAAAAGTCATTTGTCACATCTTCATGTATCCTATCAGACTCGGATGAACTCGTGTCGGAAAATTTGCATTGTGCCATTAGCTTCAGCGGTATTGTAGCGATTGTGTTCAATCGTTCATCAGTCGTGAAGATTTTGTAAATTATCTACTTTGTTATGCATTATGAAGATGTCATGACCGAGTTTCTTTTTATCCGAATTATAATTCATATCAATTACGACGGACTAACTCGACATTATTCTTTAACATAACGTTTTTAAAGAGAGCCTGGGTAACTTATCTGCCGTCGCCACTTCGGACGCCTTAAATCTTACAAAAATATGTGAACCAATCAGTGCGCTGAGGCATGGTATGGTTTCTTTCAATTACTCTGCTTGTAAAAGTTTTTCCGATTACCGCTTTCAAACGACTCAAATCGATAGTACCTGTCTGCGCTGGAGCTTTCTGTTGATGTTTTACAATAGAAAAACCGACCGAATCAGCTGTTGTAATTAGATGATTTTGAAACGAGACAAGAAATTTTATTTTATCAGTGTCAGCCACTGTTCTATCTATTGCGTAACTCTAGTACCTTCATCAGCAGATTTGAAAGAAAGGGTTCTTTTGAGCTTTTACCTCTCTTTTATCTCGGTTTTGCTTTTTGAACAGACAAATATCAAAAAAATTCTTCTTTAAGCGATGTTCATGTGTTAGGTGTCAAAATTTATCCTGCTTTGGCCCTTCATACTCCTACCCTTGTTCTGCGAAAGTACGGCCTGATTGTAAACAACACAAAATCTTGTTTATAATTAGCTGCTTTGTTTAGTTAAGCTGTGGTACCGTCGCACTGGATTAAATGGCATGTAAGTTTGGGAGGACACTCCGGACGCTCGGTAGCAAGTGCCGGGATCAACACAAATATAAGCAACACAATTCATTCAATCCAGCGAATTTGACATTATTTGAAGAAAAAATGTCAATGATCCTTTTGACCTTGTACGATTGTGTTTCGGAGTTCTGCTCCTCCTCTGGTGGATGGCATTCATACATGTGCAAGACACCCCTTGACCCAGATGAGACTGGGACCGACTTTGAGGATTCTAAGGATAAAGCCTAATAATAATAATAATAACAATAATATTAATAACGATGATCATGATAAATTGATGACGCGCAAATTACATGAAATTTTTAAATCTGCGTAACAATTTAGAGTTGAAATACTAGTACAATCAACCACAACTGCGAAGAGAAGGGAATATGAATACGAAGTCGCCACAAAGACTGCAATATA